CTTAGCTGTAGAGGGCAGTGTCACTGGCCCTCATATGTGGGATCCGAACCGGGGCCCTCTGGCATCCCAAGCCAGTTCTTAACGATTGCGCCACTCGGTCGGCCCCATATTGTGTAACATTTTGTCAATTTTTTGTCATCAATGCCATTAGATTCTAATTTATCTATGCTTAAATCTAATTGATACCACTTATTATGTTTTGAGTATTTTTTGCTAAAATTCAATATAATGGTAAATTTATTACCATATAACAAAAATTTAAAATAAAAATAACGTCATTTATGTACAAAGCAGCTCAAAATGTTATTAAATGCATAAAACAGTCAAAATATCAAATTTTTGTGGATTTTTTAAACATTTTGAAAAAAAAACTTGAAATCAATCAACAGTGAAAGGGTTAAATCACCCAGTCTGTGGTGTTTTGTTTTGTTTTTTAAGATTTTATTGGGGAATTGGGGAAGGAGTACAGTTTTGGGGAATTGGGGAAGGGGAACAGCCAAGTTGTTGTCCTTCAATCTTAGTTGTGGAGGGGGCAGCTAGCCCAGCTCCAAGTCTAGTCGCCATTTAGCCGTTCGAGGGCAGCTCGCAGCGTCTCAGCTCAAGGTGCCGTGTTCAGTATTAGTTGCTCTTAGTTGCAGGTGGGTGTAGCCCACCATCCCATGGGGGAGTTGAACCGGAAACCTTGTTGCTAAGAGCGAAAGCTCTAACCACTGAGCAATCGACCGCCCATCAGCAGCTCAGGGCAGCTCAGTTCAAGGTGCCCGTATTCAATCTTAGTTGCGGGTGGGCGTAGCCCACCATCCCATGCGGGAGTCAAACTGGCAACCTTGTTGTTAGGAGCATGTTCTCTCACCAGCTGAGCCATCCTGCCACCTGTTGGCAGCTCAGCAGCAGCTCAGCTCGGGCACAGCTCACTGGCCCGTGTAGGAATAGAACCAGCAACCCTGTTGGTCACAGCTCGCGCTCTTAGCCAACTGAGCCACTTGGCCGGCCCCTCTGTGGTGTTTTTATTATAGCAGCCTGAAGGGAATAAAATAGTAGGATAAAGGGAAGTTATTCCAGGAGCTAGTTCTCCCATGTCTCATGACTGTATTGTGGGTAGATTTCTTCAGGGCTCTCAGATTCACTCCACAAGTGGCCAGCATTTAAATTCCTACCACACAGAGGGCACCATGTCAGTCTGGTGCTGACAGCCAGGGAAGCAACAACAAACACATAGAGAGGATGGCAATCTCACCCAGTCAAGTAAGGAGGGATTGTATCAGATGTGAGAACAAAAATTTAGCCAGAATTAATCTTAAGTACTGGCATGAGAGAATTCTCATAACCAAGAAGGGATGAAAAATTATGGCATCAAAATAAGTTAAGCAAGCTACCACCAGTAGGAAAGGGAGGTTCAACCGACCACAGTTAGGATTCAGGTCCTGGAAAAAAATAAAGCCAACTCATATTTATACCCCAGTAAGCCAGTTTCACTTATATACATTCTCGCAAATTAAGAATGATTAATAAATCATAGATTGTCTCATGTTAGATAGCAAACCTTTCTGTTTATTTCTTGTTCTGAGAATTTTTACAAATTAATGGATAAAAAACTTCCTATAAAATTATAATTTATTCTTTACAGTTTTATTTTCTCGTAATAGTTGCCAGAAATTTTTGAGTTAAACCGAATGCCCAATTGCTGTAATTATCTGATCTCATATGCCTGATAATGCTAAACACAGGAAATGTTTTCAAGATCAGGATGAGTGCGGGAGACCAGCTCCCCCAAGTCCAGGGGTTCCCTCAGGTGGAGGCGGAGTCCACGCGGAGACACAGGAGCGCTTTTTCAAGAATTAATGTCTCACTTTATTTTTACAGCATGTCCTTTTTATACTGGGCAGGTAACTATTTACATCATTGAGCTGTTTTTCCCAAAGTTGTTTTTCCAAGTTTAACCCTTTATCCATTAGGAAATTGTTTTCTACATAGTTTCAATGTTCCTTCCTTCCCAGGGTCTATTTTCCTTAGAAGTTTGTTTTTCTCAGAATTTTACTTCCTCACGATGTTTCTATTACAGGGTACGGGCGGATCAGTTCTTCACTAATGACTAACTTATCCTAACTATGTTTGAATTTCTTCCCATAATGGCCAGAGCTGAGTTCCTGCCTTGGCACTTAAAGGATGTTTACTACTTAGCAATTGTTTCAAACACTACTGGCTAAACAGGATCTTAAGAATTATAAGGTGCATAACTTGTCTATCACTAAGAACTATCACTAAGAACTAACAGTAAAACAGAATTATCGTAATATGTCTAAAACTCACTTAATTTGGTTAAAGTAAATAAAACAATCAATATAAGAAGGGGTGTCAGATCTTTATCCTACTG